TGGGGATGTCTTCTATGCTTTGGTCGGAAAGCGGAATGCACTCAACTGAAAGAAAAAGAATATAATTTTTCTACTACATTAGAACAAGTATATTCCTATTAATTTTTATTTGGGTTGGTTTTTAAATCTAATTGTTTTTTTTATTATTTCAGTTTTAAAAGTATTGAATATCAAGGGACAAATTGCAACAGAGGATGAGACTAAGAAAGCCTTAAGTATACTCGTAAGCGTTATAGGAGTTATCAATAATTTCGATCGGGCAAGTGTTGATTCATTACTTTGAGGGCCTGGTGATTTATCTGCATACAAATGATTATTTAAAGCAGTGATGAGCGGGAATACTTAATTTTCTTATGGAAACTATCCGCATCTATCGAGAAGTATAAACAAAGACTAATGTAGATGGAAACAAGATATTACACGTTGATGTAATGCACCGCCATTTAGACTTGTACAGTGTGTTGTTCTATAAAGTGGGGTCTAATAGATTTGGATCATTCGAGGTGGTCAACAATGGCAATATGATATTCTTATTCTACTTGGTTGGAATTACATCAAAGAGAGCCGAACTCGAAAGCACTTTCCGATCATACTTACTATTCCAAAAGAAATCTCTTTAATTTCGGGTATGTTTAATCTTATATATGCCCAAAGAATTTTTATACGACTACATTAGTACTGTACAATATAAAATATAATAATTTATAAATTTTGACATAATGCATGTACGAAGTAGAGAAGATATTGACACCCACTCTAAGGGGTGAGTGTTAGGAACAATGAATGGTAAAACAACTAATGAATTATTTCTTGAGAAAACCAAAGAATTAGCTTCAATAGGTTTTGGGTGGATAAAATAAACGATGGTTGCTATCGCGCTTATTGTTACTATTTCATTTGCAACTATGTCAACCGCTCTGGCTGAGTATAGTGAGGAAAATGGATTTCAATCTTTATGAAGTGTGATGTATTCTTATTATTCCTGTTAACCAATTAAAATTTCTTGTTGAGTACTTTTTTTATGTTTCTATCGATAATTACGTTTTGTTCTCGAATGTATGTACTGCCCAAGGAAGATTATAGTCAGCCTTATCATAATTTTGTTGTCAATTATGTGATGTGTCTGATGACTGTTTATACTTATGCTATCTACTGCATTGTGTTTTATCATAAAGCTTTGACATGGGTTTCTCTATGTCACAAGGAACCTATGTTAAATCTTTACGATAAAAGACAATACAACAGGTATCATAAGCATAACCAACCAACAAAAACAGAGTTGACAAGAAAAATGTGATAAAGGTGACTATAATCTTCTTGGGCAGTACATGCATGGGCGGCCCTACAGTGGGGGCAGTGGTGTAACACCTGGTTCCTGGTATGTATTTTATTTAAGTATTTTGCATTTTTGGCCTGGGACTCGGCGAGTTGAAGGCCCAACACGTCGAGTAGAAGCGGATTTGATACGGGATTTAAATGAAGGACTCGTCGAGTCGGCTTCCAGACTCGACGAGTAGACTCTGACTGGACAAAACCCTAATCTAAGGGTTTGCACCCTATTTAAAAATCTCATCCAGCCACCCTTCGTCCCTATTGCCCTCAGAACTCTCCATATCAAACCCTAATCGTTTGTGTAAAGATCTAAGGCCTTTGTGGTGGTTTTTGGTGGTTTTGGAGCATAAGAAGGAAGAGAAAGGCTTGAGGGATCAAGAGAAGACCAAGGGAGTTCAAGTTTGTGCATCATTTGCAGCCCCCAGAAGGTATAAAGTCGATACCTTGCTTGTTCTTTTACTAGATCCCTTTTTGGGGAGAATTAGGGCTTTTATAAGCCATTATTGGTAACCAACCATGATTGCAAGCATGGTTGGGGGTTGAGGCTTCGGATCTAGGTCCATGAAGGAGTTACAAGGCAGAAAAGGGCTGCTTTTGCACCCATGGAAGCCCCCATGCAACTTAAGAGTCTCTTTTAGAGCCTTTTAGGCTCAAAGTCCCATGCATGCACGTAAAGTTCGTAACTTTACGTGCTAGATCGAGTTTAGGGACCTAGATCTATCATTTGGACAAGAGTTGTACACCAGAAATCGAAGAAATAGACTTGGACAGTATCGACTCGGCGAGTCGTTCTTGGGACTCGGCGAGTACGAGGTTAGGCTCCCCTTTTCTGTTATGATTCAAAGAGACCTAATTGAGTGTCAGGAAGGTTTTAGAGGGTCCAGGGGAGTGACCCAAACGTATTGGGATAAGCCATAGTCCTGGAGTTCATAGGACTCGACGAGTGGATGAACCAACTCGGCGAGTCCAAGGCAATCTCACAACTCTGAAGATGAACTCGACGAGTTGTTCATATAACTCGGCGAGTCGAGGACCAGACTGGTTCATAGGATGAGGATGAACTCGACGAGTTGTTCATACAACTCAGCGAGTCGGATGAAGGTTCATTCGATGTTCGTATAGAAGGAGAACTCGTCGAGTCATTCCTAGACTCGACGAGTAGAGTCGTAGATGAGGACAGTTAAAAGGATAGGGACACGACGAGTTGGCGGCCCAACTTGGCGAGTCAGGTCAACTGGAAGTTGACTTTGACTTTGACTTGGACTTGGTCAGGGGTAAAATAGTCACTTTACCCTAATAGTAGATATCAGGTCCTGACTGAGTGTTTTGTGGGGTTTATAACCGGAGGATTTCCGGAGCAGCCGCAGACAGAGATTCCTCACGCAGGTTATCAGCAGCTACTCGTACGAGGTGAGTTACCTTCCAGTAGCAGTGGGTCTACGGCCACAATGTCGGCCCACCAGTAGGAGTTGTATGTTGGATGATTGTCTTTGTGATATCATCCAGGTTTGCTACTACCTGATATGTTGTATGCTAGCATGATATGTTATATGTGATAGTAGTAGAGTTCGGTTGTTAGGACCGAAGGGTAGGTCAGGCACCCCAGATATGTCTGACAGTATGTGATGATATGTTTATATGCTGGCATGATATGATATATGTGATAGCGGTAGTAGGAGGGGAATAGTCCCCAAGTTCGGTTGTTAGGACCGAAGGGTAGTTCGGACACCCTAGATATGTCTGATAGTATGTTTATGTTATGATATATGTGATAGTAGCAGTAGGGGGTGGAATAGTCCCCAAGTTCGGTTGTTAGGACCGACGGGTAGGTCAGCACCCCAGAATGGCTTGACATGGGTATGTCAGCACCCCAGAATGGCTGTACCGGGTAGGTCGACACCCCAGAATGGCCGTACCGGGTAGGTCGGGCACCCCAGAATTGATCGGCAGTATGTATGCCATATGATTGTATGGTGTGTGGTACGATGGGGGAACTCACTAAGCTTCGTGCTTACAGTTTATAGTTTTGGTTTCAGGTACCTCTTAAGCGAAGGGGAAGGAGTTGGCGCAGTAGCAGCACATCATACACATACGTATTGATTTTCCGCACTTGAGATATTCTGGGATTGTACTCTAACATGTTGATATTTTATGATTTGGGTTTTCAGACATGATATATTGATTTACGGAATGATATATTTTATGTGGTTTTCTTATGAATGCTTTTATAATCACTTAATTAAAATGAAATTTTTGGACTCGAAATTTGGGATGTTACAAGTGGGGGCAATTGCCCCCACAACAAAAAAAATTCATTAAAAATAGGTTTTTTTTTTCAAAAAAAATATATTTTAACCCTTCAAAATTATATATTTTGACTCATCAAAAAAAATTTGCCCCCCATAAAAAAGTTATAAAAAAAATTTGCCACCTCTTCGGAAAATTCTTGGGTCCGCCCGTGAATACATGCATACATGAACGAGATTTGATTATCGAAAGAAACATAAAAAATGAAAAACTTAACAAGAAAATGTCATTGGTTAACAGAGATACCAAGAAGAAGCCTTGCTTCATAAAATTTGGAAATTCATTTTCCAGACTATACGCACCAGTAGGGGTTACCACAACTGGCTTTGGTTAAACATAGCATTAATCTGGCAATTTCTCCACTTTGTAAAATTCTCATGTGCATATTTAAAGGTGTGATAGAAGAAGCTTGACGAATGCCCTTTTCATGAAAGTTGTGGTTGTTTGGATATATAGATTTTGATGACAAGGAGTTATTAGTTATTAGTTATATCATGTGGTATACATCACTCTTTTATTCGTTTTTCAATTTTATTTGTTTCTTGTTTTTTATAGCACTTTACAATAATAATACAAAATACGAGATTTTTATTCGTTTTTCAATTTTATTTGTTTCTTGTTTTTTATAGCACTTTACAATAATAATACAAAATACGAGATATGTACTCCTTATGACTTGGACTCTTTTATATGTAGGTTTAATGATGATGTAAGACACTAGAAACATATTTGCATGCTTCACAACTTATCTTTTCAATCCAAGCTTTATATAGTATTTGATTGTACAATGTTCTTTATTTTAATGTGTATGTTTAAGGGAGATAGAAGGAATAAACTGTATCAAATGTGGCATGGTTTCCTATGCTCGGACGCAGGATTTCATCTGAAGGGTGGCTTGAAAAATTTAAGCAATGGCACGATAGTAAAAAAAAAATCGAAATTTTCCGTAATGTGTACAAGTAAGTTAGGCGTTGCCGGTGCCACCATTGGATTTGTATGTGTTTTAGACCTTGATTGAACTAAAGGAAACTAAAATTGAAACTTGTTTTTGAAAATTTGTTTGTGTTCTTTTACAAGAAAATATATGGAAAACTAGTTGACATTGAATTAAAGCAAGTTTCTTTGTTCTTTTATAATAATTGATTTTGTATAGCTACGGGCATCTCATCAACAATGGTACACCCCGCAAGTACCCTACTTGAAGGTAATAGAGTTGACATTGAATTAAAGCAATTAGAAAAAGATTTTTTAATAAAAAAACATGAGATACTTTCATTTTGAAATTTAAATTCGTCAAAATCCTAGAGCCTTCTTTGTGTAGAGGAGCTCATTGATAAAAAAAAATGTGTTTTTGCTAAGCATTATATAGCCTCTCTTTGCAATATATATTCCACAGCCTCTTCTACAGTATCAACAACCTGCAATAGGTAATTAATTAAATTACTTCATGTTTTAAGCATCAATAAATACTTTTCATCATCAAAATTTAAATAAATTTTGAAAAAAAAAAGATTATAAATCATCTCAACTATGACTTACCTTATCAGCGGGATAATCCGTATGGTTCTCCTTTCCTCTAAAAACACATGTCCCTGTCAAAATAGAAAACCATGGATGTCCCGCCTGAAATATATAAAAAGGGAAAATGATTTTTTTATATAAAACTACAATTCAATTTAATAAAAATTCAAAAATAATAAAAACAAACCTGTCTTGCGCCCTTGACATCAACCGAAGGATTGTCCCCGACCATGTACAGGGTTTCAAAATGGTGTGAATTATTTATTGTGTCTTTGTGATCTTCATTAAGAAGTTGCTTCAATATGGACTCTGCATTCTTGAACACTTCTGGATTTGGTTTTCCAAATGAGGTATACTCCAATGGCTTGTGGTGAATCCTACATCAATGTTCATACAAACATAAATCTTGATCCAAGGGAAAAGACATTACAATAAACATAAATTTTATTTTATTTTGTTTTGTTGATTATTATTTATTTAATACCTGTTAAAGATGCTTTCTAGAGCAATCCTGAAAGCCCCCATGCCAAGACGTTCACAAGGAAATACAGCCTGTGCTCATCTTTAACATGTTCAGTGCATTATTCCAATTAATCTTAAAAAAGAATATGTTGTAATACATGACCTGATATTCAATTATTCCAATTAATCTTAAAAAAGAATATGTTGTAATACATGACCTGATATTCAAGCTCATCAGCTGCAAAATACATAGGTGGTTGATGCTCACACTTCTCTCCAGGCAAACCACCCCATCTCTAATATAAGGTAAAAGAGGGGTAAATATGTAATCTACTTTTCCCTGGAATAATTAACTTTGATGAAGGTGGTATGAAACTAGTTATTAGACCCCTAAATAATCTTATAATTTATAATCAGAACCACTATATTCAAACACCGGAAATTCATAATTGCCTTTTCAAATGTTATCCGTAAAAGGAGTATCTCAATTAATTTCTTGGCTTGCATATGGAAATATGTTTTTGCCATATTTAATTGGTTTAAACATTTACTTTTTCTCATAATAAAAACTCTAGTACTTAGGAATTAATTTAATTGGAAGTTGAAATTTTGTTGTTTTTTAACAATAAATATCAAGAGAATAATGCATCATACACAAATGATAACCAAGAATCTAGAATGTCTTGCAAGGATCATGAATGTTTAAGAGATATCAAGAACATGGCGATGGAACTTATGTAGAAACATCCTTCCAAACATCTATAAATAGGAGTTTCTGAATAATGACCACTCATGAATTCTCACCAAGTATTAATATGTATTTTCCCTTTCATCGTTAATCATCACTTAAGTTTAAGTTATGTAGTCCTCTCTTCTAATAATCGCTTGAATGAATAGTAATAAAGTGGTTTCCTTTCCAATTTAGTTCTCACTTTACTTTCTCGAGTGGTTTTGTTCCAAGCTTTATTAATATACATATGAAAAACATAAGATGCTTATGAACAGTGACTTTTGTGAAGGAATCGGCCTTATTTACAAAAAATGGTCCTTAGATTTTGTTGAACATGACATTTTTGGTCCCATTTTTTATTTTTTTTACATGTACTAATGATTTTTGTGAGGGAATTGGCTTAATTTAAATAAATGGTCCCTGAATTGGGTTGATTTATATAAATGGTCCCTTTATTTTGTTAAACTTGATACTTTTGGTCCCAATTTTGTTTTTTATATATATAAAAGATTTTTGAGAAGGAATTGGCTTAATTTAAAAGAATGGTCCCTAGATTTTGTTGAATTCGACAATTTTGGTCCCATTTTTGTTTTAAAAAAAAAAGCTTTGGGCGCCCGAGATCACCTACTAGTTTACTTTAAAACAATGTTTTCATAAACTTATTACCTATAATATTTTATTTATATTTTATCTTATTACATTGTTGTACATCAAAAATTATGTTGAGTTGCAATCATTTCACCGATTAACAAAATAGTTTTCACTTTATGTCTACATAAAATTTCCGTAATAAATACAAACAAATCAAAAAATATAAAGTTCCAATAAGAAGCGATGAAAATAAAATACGATAATACATGTAGGGTTTATGTGCAAAAAAGTAATGGTATTAGAGTTTATGTATTTTTATCTGTTATTATAAATTTACCAAGTTATTTATATATTTATATTTTTGGTCTAATTTTTAATTTTTATTATAAATTTGGTCTGATTTGTTTTTTCTTTTACAAAATTGTCCCAAAAAAATCTCAAGTTAATTCTTTTTTTTTATAGAAGTTTTACACAAACTTTTTATAGATTTTTTTACAAAATTTTCCACAACTTTTTAACACTTTTCTATTTTCATTTTTTTTAATTTTTTTTACCTTTTAAAAACTTTTTTATACACTTTATAAAACTTTTTAAGTTTTTGGGACTTATCGGCTACTACCAAAAATTCATAGACGTGTACGCAACAATGGCAACCTCGATGACCAACTTGCTAAAAAAGGGGAAATTTAGGTGGACTCCGGAAGCAAATGTTTCTTTCATAAGGCTAAAAAAAATCATGACCACAACTCCTATTCTAGCAATGCATAATTTCAAAAAATATTCGCTATAGAGACCTACACTTCCGAGTTTAGGGTGGGTGCGTATTTACTGCAAAATTCCCATCAGATCGCCTAGTACATCAAGTACTTTCGAGTGAGAAACTGGATGAAACTGATATGTGGAAAAGAGCTTGGCATGTAACATCCCGGAATTCAGGTATATCTCTTTGATCCTTTTCTTTTCTCAAGTTGCCAAACTAGTCCTTGAATAGAATGTTTGGCTTTCGAGTACGCTGGGCGTAAGGGAGAGTACGCTGCGCGTACTCATGGGCATATTCTTGACGCGGAGTCTACCCAGTACGCTGGGCGTACCATAATGTACGTTGGGCGTACTAGGTTCACATTGAAACGCTAATTGTGGGGGTGAGCCCTATATAAGGAACATTATGGCCTCACTTTTAGCCACCATTTCCAGAGAGCAAAACCCTAAGTGGCCCTAACCCTCGTTCTAGAGCTAGTGTGAGTGTGGTTGAGCTTGAAAGTGTTCTTGTGTGCTTTTGAAGAGAAGGAGGTGCCATTGAAGGAGCTAGAGTTGGAGGGCAAGCTTTGGATCTGAACTTTTTGAGGTTGGAGTATCATTTGGAGGTAAAAAGCTCAAAGCTTTCTCAACCTTTTTGATTTGAGCTTTATGGACCATTTCTAGGGTTTTTGTCCCAAAGGTGGAGACTTTATGAGTAAAGAAGCTCCATAAGACCTTGATCTGTCCATATTCAGTGTATAAAGAGTTATAGATCCATAAAAATCTAATCTTGGACGTTAGGAGTGAGCCATGCATGAGATATGAGCTCTTTAGTGAAGGAAGTGGTGTGTTTTGGATGTTGATGACCATTACAGCCATGCAAAGGCATAAAGTCTTCGACTTTATGGATTAGGAGGCTGTAGGGGGTCCAGATCTGTATTTTGAGCCAAGGTCTTAAATGATTAAGACCATAAGTGAGATAACAGTGAAACTGGGACGTACGCCGAGCGTAAATCCCAATACGCAGGGCGTAGGGCTCAATCAACCCGATATCAGCATAGCAGTCGAGTACGCCCAGCGTAGGAGTCTGGTACGCGTCGCGTACTCCTTAGGGTTGACTTATGTTCACTTTTAGGGTTTAGTCAATAAATGGACTTTTGGACCATTGGAGGGGTAGAATGGTCTTTTACCCTTCTGAAAGAGTATAGGAAGGGATTAGTCTAGCCTTTGAGAGCTTTTATTAAGTAGAGATATTTTTTGTATGTGATTAGACGGAGGCTAGATCAGTGTTTCGAGTTCGAGATCATTTTGAGTTACCCGAGGTGAGTCTTCTCACTATACATTACCTAGGGCGGTATCTATGTGTGACCAGAGGGTCTTATGTGCTTGCTTGAGTTATGCATGATTGTGTGATATGTATTATATGCTATGTTATTGTGCTTAGACCGGACCGGAGGGTCCAACGAATTATGAGGCCAGAGGGTCCTCAACCAGACCGGACCAGAGGGTCCAACGAGCTACGGGACTGGAGGGTCCCGCTGAGACACATTGACCAGAGGGTCGTACAGAGTTATAGCCTCGAGTGGCTAATATGTGTTGTATGTGGTATTTTGGGGAACTCATTAAGCATTTGTGCTTATCGTATTATGTGTTATGTGTTTCATGTACCCTAGAGGATCGCGGGAAGGCACCGGCGTGATTGTACATACACTCTTGATATGGAGCTATGATTGTGGATCCTGGATTTGAATAATTGTATTGAAAACTTGTTGGTTGTTTTTGAGAATCAATGATGAGACATATGTTTTATGAGTTTTAAAATTTAAAAATTTGTTTTGAAAAATCATGTCGTTACAAGTTGGTATCAGAGCCTTGGTTTGAGGGATTCGGATACACCTTCGGGCATATATGAACTCAAACTGAGGATTTGGGAAAGGTTTTCAAAAAGAAACAATTTTTCTAAAAAGAGTAAAAGATTCCAAAAGAGCGGAAAAGAGCAGTGTGTACAATCAGCCAGCGCCCGAACGGTGATTTCCCAAAATACCCTTACGTTATGTGTTATGATATTATGAGTAGTAATATGCATGCTAGAGTAGGCTAGGTAATTCATTATTTAGGACTAGAGTGGCCTGATTTGTGATGCCTTAGCCTAGGAGTTCTGCTACTGTGAGTTGCTTTGAGTGCATATAGGTAGCAGAGAGTAGCTTATGAGAAGTCTGCTAGAGAGTAGGCTGTATTATGTGTAGTGTAGAGTACTTGCGAGTTGGGATCCTAGGAGGAGGACTTGGGGTGGATACGGATACGGTGTGGAAGGTAGTATTGGGCCCATACTACTGAAAGCACCGGATCGGTAAGCATCCCAAGTAAAAATCCTTATGGTACTAAGGAACAAGTAGGGTTGAGTGATCGGGTGTGAGTAATCTCGATCGAGTCTCTGATTGTTTTATGTTGTATTTCAGAGGCATCATTGTGGGCACGCGCCACAACCCAGGAGTCAGTGGTACCAGTGGTACCAGTGATGAAGAGATTCGTAGGTTGATTCACGAGGAGGTGCCCCGCAGCCATTCGAGCTGAGATATCGGAGATGTTTGGGTCTATAAAGACCACGCTGATTGAGACATTTGACGAGCGATATGTTGCTCTGACCGAGGCTGTTGTTGCTGCAGCCACGCAGCCGTCGCCGCTGCTAGGCCACAGGGGGGTGACTCGTTGTTGTACCGGGAGTTCAGCAACACGAAGCCAGTAGAGTTTGACGGGACGCAGGACCCGATTGCTGCTATGAGATGGATCTCCGATATTGAGGGGTGTTTCTACACTTGTTCCTTCCCGGAACATTTGAGGGTTCGGTTCGCGCTGAACCAGCTTCGCTTGGGAGCGAAGGACTGGTGGAAGTTTGTGACAGCTGATTTCACTACTGCAGAGCTTACCGCGGTGACTTGGGAGAGGTTCACCGCTATGTTTCGAGACGAGTACGTTCCCCCGGTGGAGAGGGAACGGTTGGCCTAGGAGTTCTTGTCTCTCAAGCAGGGAACTGAGTCTGTGACTGTGATCACCCGGATGTTTCATGAGAGGGTGTTGTTTTGCATTGAGCACGTGTCTGCCGAGCAGGAACGCATGATTCGATATCTGAGCATATTGAGGAGAGACATTCGAGAGTTTGTGGTGAACTCGACATACCGGACATTTGCCGAG